CAGAAAGGAGCCATGAAGGAACTAGACAAGATCCTCAAGAGTTAAGATGCATTAGTAGATATCCAAGCCAGAATCCTCTAGGTCACCCAGTGGGTTTATATGGCCAAGCTGGGAATCAAACCCTTGCCTCCAGGGTCATATGCAATGCACAAACCACAACTCCATGCTGGCTTTCTGGGGATTATGGGAGCTGGAGTTTAAAAAGTAAAGTTTCTACTCCAGGAATTGGAAACTTGTTGACTAGAATCAAACACACACACAAAATCAAAGGTGGAAAAGACATGAAGACTTATCTCCCATTCTCCCTTCCTCCTCCAAGGAATCCCATATTGGCTCCTATAGAGAGAGTGAGTTGCAATGATCTTGCAAATGCTGTCCACCAGATGACGCAATGGCAGCAGACCATGCAAAACATAATGGACGCAAAGCAGAGGGGAAAGCAGATCTGGCAGCCGATCAATAGATCGATCGATCCCTAATCAGGTTATCCTAACCCCAAAGCCTCTCTCTCAGCCTCAGAGCAAAGGCAAGGCCCCTCTGATCAAATCTTGCTAAGAAAAGACTGTGATAGATTTGTCTTAGGGCCACGGTTGGAAATTTCTTGAAGGCACACAACAACAACAACAACAACCAGCTGCACTGCACAATTCCAGGGCATCATTTGCAAGGCTAGACATGGAAAAGTGTAGCTCCTCCAGGAATGCCTGGCATCATCTCAGGTCATGCACAGCTGGAAATATGCCAGCCTCGAGGGCTTTCCTGATGGCTCCTATCAGGCACATCAGACATGTAAATCAGGATGAGGAAGGATTTAATTGCCTTTTGGCACCTCTAAGAATTTTTTTTTTTGGGGGGGGAGGGAATGCACACAACAACAGCAATGCACCTAAATTCCCAAAGGCTCCAGAACCCATCTGATCTTGGAAACTAAGCAGCACTGCCCCTGGTTAGTACTTGGATGGGAGACCACCATGAATACCAAGTACTGTGTGCAATATTTCAGAGGAAGGAACTGGATTCCTTACCTAAGAAACCCTTATGAAATACATGGTGTCACTCAAAGTCAAGAGGTGGCTTGAAAGCACACGAACGCACACAACATGCAGAAACGTTGCTCCTTTTGCATTCTTTACTCTGCCTTCAGCCGGCA